GCATGTCCTTGTGTATTCTCGAACATCTTGCTCCATATGAGGCCAATAGTAGGCATGTTGTAGAAGTGCCAAGGTAYGYTRCCACCCAGGATGTCCTGCCCATAAGCTGTCATGACATTCACRTAGGAGAGTCTTCCTCAAGTCTTCAACTCTCGGTACAAATATCCGCCTTCCCTTTGACAAAAGAAGGCCTTCTTCAACCCAAAACCGCCTAGTCTTCCCTTCATGAGCCGCTGTCAATAGGCTTTGAGCAATGGGGTCCTTCTGGAGTCCTTCCTTGATGAGCTTAATGAGGTCCAGTCTGATTTGGCTTTGAGAGGGACCTTCACCTGTGGACAGTGCTGCAAGCTCGGCCTTCCTGCTAAGTGCATCAGCAACCCTGTTCATCAGCCCTGGCTTGTACTCTGGAGTCATGTCAAACTCCGCTAAGAAATCTTGCCATCGAGCTTGCTTAGGGCTCAGCTTCTTCTGAGACTGAAAGTAACTAGTAGCTATGTTGTCAGTCTTGACCACGAACTTGGAGCCAAGCAGGTAGTGTCGCCATGTGCGGAGGCAGTGGACGATGGCTGTCATCTCCTTCTCTTGCACAGTGTACCTCCTCTCTGTATCATTCAATTTGCTGCTTTCAAAGGCGATGGGATGTCCTTCTTGCATCAAGACCCCGCCAATAGCAAAATCAGAAGCATCTGTGTGTAGCTCATACGGCTTGCTTGGATCAGGCAAGTCGAGGGCAGGTTCTGTTGAGACAGCTCTCTTCAAATCATCAAAAGCTATTTGGCAACATTCACTCCAGGTTCACACATTAGTCTTCTTCAGTAAGTTGGTGAGGGCAGTGGCTCGTGCTGAGAATCCAGAGATGAATCTTCGATAGTAGTTCACGAGGCCAAGGAAGGAGCGAAGTTCAGTGACCCTAGTGGGCGGTGCCCAATCTTGAATGGCCTTGACTTTAGCTGGATCCATACTGATTGTGCCTGCTCGGATTATATGTCCGAGGAAAGCCACCTCTTCTGTGGCGAAAGAACATTTCTCCTTCTTAACAAATAGGTTGYTGTCCCGCAAGACCTGKAAAACAGTGCRGAGGTGGTCAACATGTTCCTCCAAGGTTCTACTGTAGATTACAATATCATCAATATACACAACAACAAATTGGTCTAGGTTGGGATGAAATATTCTGTTCATCAATGTACAAAAGGTGGTTGGAGCATTGGTGAGTCCAACAGGCATGACACGAAATTCAAAGGACCCATAACGGGTAACACAAGTTGTTTTGTGTTCATCTCCTTCRGCTATACGCACTTGATAGTACCTCGACCCCAGGTCTAGCTTGGTGAAGTACTTGGCCCTGCTGAGCTGGTCAAAGAGGTCAGCCACCAAAGGTATGGGATATTTGTTCTTAATGGTGAGTTTGTTGAGAGCTCGGTAGTCAATACAGAGCCGAAGAGATCCATCATGCTTCTTYTGAAAYAGRACTGGTGCTCCAAAAGGGGCCTTAGAAGGCTGAATCAATCCAGCATCCAACAACTCATTCAACTATTTTTGTAGCTCGGCCAGCTCAGGAGGAGACATTCTGTATGGTGGGCGTGCCGGTGGTTTGGTTCCGGGCTCAACTCAATTTTGTGATCAACTTCTCTCCTTGGGGGAAGCTTCTTCGGCAATGTGGGAGGCATGACATCCTGGAATTCTTCTAGTGCCATTGTAATCGCTGGCGGGATATGCCCGGTTGGTGGATCAGGCAGGTCGGAGTCCACCAATGTG